TTCCTGCCCTCTCTCCATTTATTTGGACTCTCCAACCGCACACCAACCTCCTCCACTTTGCTCTGCTCAGATCATGCTCAATTTCATACTTCAATAACTTACACACCTGGGCCATCAGTTGTTCCAGTGGTTTAGGGCACTGGGACTTGAGGGCTCTGGGCTGCTTTATCCCTATGCGGTCTAGGGATGCCCCTCAGGTAGACTTACCCTGTGGTCTGACACCATCCCAGCACTCATAGTTTTATTACGAGTCCCCAGCCACTGCCACCCTAACCCTCAAGGCCATGCCTATCTGTGCTCTGTAACTGCACACTTGCTCTGCTGGGGACATGGGTGTGCTCCTGAGCTGGGTTTACGTGAGGATGTAATGCATTTGCTGCCCTTCAGTCAAGCAGATGATTGCCTGAGCTGATGAAGCAGTGCAGGCAAACCTGTTGCTCTGAACCTCAGCCCCCTGTCCAAAATATGTGGATAGCAGCATTTGCCCTATAATGGATGTAACACCAAGTTAATAAACAAAAAAAAATTGCAAGGGACTCCAGTACGTTGTAAAAGAGACCAGTAAGCACTACAAATTTACAAAGTAATTTTCCAGGAGACAAAATTTAACCTCAGTCTGTGTCCTTTAAAAATATAAAAACACAAAACCATCAGCAAAACAGACGGACATATTCCTTGCAAACTCATGTAGTCAAACAAGTGTATTTTTGCTGCAGTCCTTCGCTCATTCTTTCTGGTATTTGTCTGCCAACATTTCTTGGTTTTTTATTTAACTCTGATGTAAGTTCAGATTTCTTTATTTCATATAGAGTTACTATGAACCACTGTTATCACGGTAAAGAGGATTAGCGGAAAGGAACATCAACAGCGCTCACAATCTCATCAAAAGTGCACGACCTCAAGAAATAACATCATCATTAAAATGTCACTATCTTGACTGTAATTACACACAGTTCTCAAGATCACATGCTTACCCAGATTATTGTGTGCTGGAGACATAGGGTTTGGTGATAAGTTTGGAGAACCTGAAAATCAAGACATTATTATTAGTAGTATGGCATCCACACAAGGAAAAACACTTGCACAAAATCTTCAGTGCTGCCCAGGCTTGTTGGAGGTATAACCTACTTCTCACTTAAGTCTCGTTTTGTGACACCAGCAGCTCCTCTGATGTTGATTACTCTTTACATGAGCTTCCAAATGCTATTACTTATGATATCAACTTGCTACATCTGCAATACTGCTAAGCATCTTCATAATGCATTTATTTAAGCTTAACCCATTAATTTTCAAAACTGAGCATGCAGCTGCCTGTTTCACTTTCATTTGCAGTCATCAAAACTCCAGGTACCATCATGACAGCTACAGGCAAACCCAGTTAGCTGGGCATTTGAGAGCTTGATTTCACATTGCTAGGCACAAAACACACTCACTCATAAGAGTCAAAACCATACCACTTTATATCAACAAATCTTACTGGTTTTGGGACAATGGAGTATTGGATCAAGCTAAACAGATCTGACCAAATAACTGCCAGAATTTTATCCCCAATCATTTCAATTTGGTCCAAAAATTCTGTGCGTGTATTTCAAATATCTGCACTTGGATGTCCAGAGCAATTTCCACAGTCTCTGGATGCCACATGGATGCAGACAGGTGGTACAGCCCATTTTTTCTTTTCCTCTCACACCGAGTTTGGCTGGTTTCTTTAAAATGTGGTTTTTTTCTATAAAGAGGGAAATCCATGACATCTGAAGGAAGGGATATAGCATTTGAACATAAATTGGGTATTTATAGCATCTTCCAGATCAATCCTGTTCCAGTCCACTTTCCCAAAAAGCCATACATACATTCCACATGTCAACCACATTACCAATAATTGTATGCACTAAAATGGTTTGTGTCAATAGGCTTATGTTTGATGTAGACAAACAAACCCACACTGCGTTCCTCCATCTGTATAACTGTGGTGAAAGACTGCAAATCAGTCATCCCTCTTTTAGAATCCCACATATGCTCTGCGGCTGAAGACATGCACAGAAACCAAGATATTTGTGTGCAGTATTTGCATTAATTAGGTTCTGCATGTCTACCTTTATGCAAGTGTCATGTATTTGCATATCCCTCTTGTAAAGCATCAACCCTGCTAACCAAGGACGGGTTTTTGCTTTTCAAGCAAAAGTTTTGGAGTCCGATTCAGTGGTTCTTACTCACAAGCAGTGACACTACTCAGATCAACAACATGCCATAAAAGGTTACTCCCAGAAAGATGAGACCTGCATGTTTAATTTTAAAGTGTTGATACAGGTTAGCATGAACACTAAGGCTGCTCATTCTAAACTTGGTTACTTGTTTTCTTGGCAATGAGAGGGAACCTAGACTTTCAACTTCCTTTGCGATATATCCACTAAATGATAAACCCATTTAAAACCAAATCTCCTAGTGGTCATTTGAAATGCCGTTAAACTGGACATTTCAGTATGTAAACAACCAAACAATCAGAAAAATGCCTCTACAGAAAAGTGCCAGATATGTGCAGAATTTTCAAGTGCATACAGATGCATGGATGCAAACACAACACAAACTATCATCCTTAGATGTGTCTCCACTGTTTCAAGTTCCTGCTTAGTACTGTCCTGTCTAATGATGGATGTTGGGGAGAGCAGGAACATGCTGTACCTTTCACCAGCAGCTCTAAAACATACAGTCCTGTGCTTTACTTGAGATGTCAGGCTGCATTTGCACTCCTACAGGGATAAAATACCTCAAACCACCATCTGATCTTCAGTGCCCCAAAGAAAAACTTTGAAAGAGCCTCTGATATGACCTAGAAAGCTGCAGCAAATGGCAAAAGATGGCTTACCTGCATCCATGCTGGGGTTCATCTGGTGGTCACTAGTTTCTCCATCCTCACTCAAATAGCCTGGAGGAGGTGTCTCTAGAAGCATAAAACAATCATACTGTCATTGCAACTGCATGCAAAGTCTGGATTTTAGACACCAAAAACATTTATTTTGGTATTCACAAGGAGCTAAATTTCTTTTTTGTTACTTTTCTTCCTCAAGCTGCTGAAAGGAGGAGCTGGCACAACCGGGATGATAGTCATAGCATATTTGTGAATAACAGAGGAGGGGGAAACAAAAAAATCCGGATTTTTAGTCCCATAAAACTTTAAGCCATGTAGACAGTTTTCTGTCCACATATTTTTCCTCTCCTGGTGTGCAGCTGCATAGCTTGTCCATGCAAATAAGGTGTAAATTGCTTGTAAAAGAGATACATAAATAGAAGAGCTCAATTCCATCAGAAATTTAGAGAGTTTTACTCAAATTAAAATGGCTGAATTTCATTCAAATCTAAACTTGCTAAGGGAACATTCAGCTTTAGACTTCACAATAAACTGAGTACATTACTACTGAAAGGAAGAGGTGAGTTTAAAGAAAACAAAACAAAACTATAAACAGCACTGTTGTGTGTCTACATTTACAGCTTTCATCTATTTTTGTATAGGTTCCCACTCCTTAGCTTCATAGTAACAATGGAAAGAAAGACTTTCCAGTCATCCAGCTTGGCATACATAGACACGATTCACTGTGCAATATGACCCTTTTCCCTCCACTCGCCGTATGGAAGATATACAGTACCTGGAATGTAGTTGCTCTGTGGCTCGATACCTGCTGGGAAGTTAGTGTTCTCTGGAATAGAATGACTATAATCATCTAATGGCGGGAACTCAGCTGGGATCTCTGTGTGCCGAGGCACCAGCACTGGAGGTAACACTGCACAAATGGAAAGGAAAAAAAAAAATAGAACAGCAACATTAAGAGCTTTAAAATAAAATGACTGAAACCCTAGAAAATGAAGAGAAACCAGTTTGGAGTAACACCCTTAAATACATGCAACACCAAAGTCACTAATTAAGGGACACAATTTGATACTTGCTTCTGAAATAACAGCAGCAGTTAAAGATGCTATTCTTAACATATCTCAGCTGGGGACGGGATACGTGCTTATCTGAACACACCTAGTCTGTCTGCTGCTGCTAAGGCAAAGAAAACAGGTCTTCTTGAAAAACCATTTAAGAGAAGTTATACTACATGATTCAAAAGGAATAAATTTCACATAAAATGGAACAGCAAGGTAGGATTAGCATAAACATCCAGACTGGTTCTACAGATTTGTACTAACATGCAGCAGAACTATCTGCAATTCCAGTTAAAAGTCTCTTTCAGAGGCAGGAGGAGACTTCAGAACAGGAAGTTCAGTTGTGTTGGGAGCTATTCTTAGATCCACTCCAACTTAAGTTTATCCTTAATTTAATACCAACAATTGGGGATGCATAGAACACTGCCTTAGTTCATACTTGTATCTACTATGTGTATGAGTTGTTTACGTGCACACAATGCCACATTAGGAACCTGGCAACAATGTAACCTGCTCAACTTGGATTTTATCGATTTAAAATGATATTTTCCCCCTGAGTGCAGATTCATAAATTATTCTACTGTGTACAGTAAGAGATTATCATCAATAATAAATACACTTCGGTTTTAAAACCCTATGCCTGCTGCTTAATTCAATTTTGAAATGCATTTATAAATCCCTTATGCTGGTACTGAAAAGCTGAGGTATCCACACATAGGGTCAGCAGTACCTGGGGTTTCCACTCTTTGGTAATGGTAAGGATTCACACAGACTTCATCCTTCTTCATGTTAAAGGCATACTCGCACATCTCCATGGCACGCAACTCATGGTGGCTATGAAGGTCTGGCCACCGCCACAGCCGGCAGTAGATCACATGGGGAAGACCCTTCCGGTGAGATACTTGCAGCCGTCCATCTAATGATCTGCAGTCAGAACATAAAGATGATAGCAATTTAGACTGCCATTAATACATGTGTGGTACTGACCACATCCCATCAAACACTACACAGGGGAACTTAATGGGAAGACTGCTTGCTCAAAGCATAGGCTGCCCAGCCAACTCAGTGTCCTGACACGATCCCAAAAGGTGCTACTCACCAAAACCCGCTGAGACAGTGCTGCAAGGAGGCATTCTGGTCCCAGACATCAGGCCAAAAAGTTATCCCTTAAAACTGTAAAATGTTTGTTTTCTATAATAGCCCTGCTCTGGATTTATTAATTTTCTGAAAAGAGGTTAATCTGGAGGCAGAGACAAGAGCTACGTCAAGTAAGAATACATAGTTTAGTGGTACTTCTTAAGCATTTATGTGTGTCCTAACGAACAGGCCATTTGCACAGCTCTCAACAATTTATGCTGTGCATGTGCACATCTTAAAATACATGCTAATAAAACTGGACTTTCAAAATACAGAAAGATAAATTTCCGTTGTGACAAAATCATCCAAAATTGATACAGATACCTTTTCTTTAAACAGTGTTCACAAACATTACAAACAAGCAAGGCTTCCAGTTTCATTTTCCAAATTGCAGCTTGAAAACAAAAAATAGGGTTTTTTCAGCATTGCTTACTTCTGTTTTTACATCTAGCCCGTGTCTCCTCCAACTCATTTTTCACCTAATTCTACCCTCACCCCAGAATAGCCTGTTCCTAGCAAACCTTCCTGGAACACAAGACAAGCGTGTTCAAATCCTCTCCAGCAGAGGAAAGGGTTGGAGCAGGGTCTCCTCCATCCCAAATAAGGGCTCCACTCCCTGAGCCACTGAACAGGAATTGCCCCCAGGCACTTTCTTTGAAGTCTAACCATTCATTTCCCTTGTTTTTCTTAATGACTGAAATGAAAGACTTTAGGGGTTCAGTGAAATGAAATATTTCTATTTTTTCATTTGTCAAGGAAAGGGAAAAAAAAAAAAGAAAATTGAAATTTTACTTGGAATTATTTCCCTTGGTTCTTTGTGTTGGCAGCCAATCTAGAAAAACCAAACCAAACCAAACCAAAACACACAAACAATTATTCAAACAGTGGTTGCACTAGTCTTGGCTGCCCTAAGAGAATTTTCCCAAAAGCTTCTCTGGCAGAGCTTGGTAACACGCACACCTCTTGTAACACTGCCACAACAATGAGGAAGGCAAAACGCAACCAATTCAAGCTATTACTGACAAGCACTTGATTTAGGGGAGCAGCAAAACATGTCCTATAACTATTACAGATGAAGTATATAAGAAGTCTGTGCCATCACTGAGGGACTTGCTGGTACAGGTTACAAAACATCTAAAACCTGCAAGTATATTACAGCCCTGAAAAATGCTCAACGCCCAGTTATTATTTATAGTACGTATTTATAGTATGTATTTCTTCATGTTGTGCCTGTTATTTATGGGTCATGCATTCTCTTCAGATTTCACTCTTCAGACTGCTCTGTGACGGGTTGACCAACCAGCTCAGTATCTGGCACATTTTCCAAGTGTGTTCTTATGCCAAGCTCCTTCTGAGGACAAGAAAGCAGAAATTGGTCTTCCCAGGTGGAAGACTCAAAAGGAGGGTGCCAGTGTCTAGAACTTCTGTGATCTTCTGTGGAAGGTGGGAATCTTGGTATTGATTTCAGTGGGGCCAAGACTTGACTTACGTGACGCCAAAACTCGTCAGTTTGGAAAAATTAAAAAAAAAAACAAACCCAAACAAAAACAAACCAAAAGTGTGAAAATATTTACTAAATTTAACAAAAAGAGAGTAGGCTGAAACGAGGAACAAAACAGGACTGCTTTTCTGTTTCCCTTTCCCCTTTCAAACATCTTTGCCCACTTGGAAGGATATCTTGCATCTAAGTGAGGGTAAAGGAATAAAAAGAAGACTTGGAGAGATTACTCCAAGCATCCCACAGGAGACACGACTGTGGCAAATGTTCTTACTGTTCCCAGTCACCATCAGCAGATGGACATCACAGCAGCACAGAGAGATTGGGGTTGAGGTTAGCGGCTGAGATGGGGGGACTAATACAAAGATAAAGTGTATGACTTTGGGATTACTTGCAAGGATGTTTTTTCCCAGGATAGAAGAAACTCTTTATACCTGCAACAAACTTCCCAGGCAGCTGGAGAGTAAAGTGCACTTCACCCCAGGGTTCTTGGTAAAAGCTACGAAGCCTTCACAAAAGATGAGCCAGTACATCCACATGCCTGACTCACTCTCTGGATGCAGTGGCCCTTGCCACCCAGGTTAATGGAGCCCTTCCGCTGACAAAGTTCTCGCAGGAGACAGAGGAGACAGACACCAAGTCACTGTTGTCTGAGCAGTCCCCAAATCCTGAACAGCTTCAGTGGTTATCTAAACCAAAAACAGCCTAAAAGCATAACATAGCTCTCCACCACTAGTATCACAGCTACTCATTTTTGTTAGCAGAGACTGCACGCTGCGGAAAACGTGTTGTGCTTGCTATCTACCACTGCTCATGGCATGAATGCTGTCCATAAGGCAGAAGAGATGGACTTCTCTACAATCTTATCTAAAAAGACTTCTTAAAATGACAGAGCCATATGTTTTATTTTCAAATATAATAACCTCCCCTTCTCCCCTCTCTCCCCAATAAGAAGATAAGGTAAAAGAAATTATATTTCCCCAAAGCGCTGGGGGCTAATTACATTTTTATGATTGTGAAATCTCTCAGGCTCTCTGTTAAGGGACATGGGACAAAACAACATCGTCTGCATGTTCTTGGGAAGAACGTGGCTAAGTAACAGGGCAGCTTTATTTCTTTCTGCTGTCCTGCCTCAACCCTCAAGGAGTATTTTCTCCAAAGCAACAAATAACTGCTATGGCTGAGATGGGACACAAGATTAGATGAACAAACACCGTGCTCTACTAAAGGCAGCTTTTTGTGTAGATACAGCACTCCAATTACCACAGTCAATTGCCACGTCTTTATTAGCTAACTGAATGCTCATTTGTAGATGCAAACACTTGATAGAGCACAAGAACTGTCTTGAGCACCCAGTCATCTCACTTATAAATGATCTAGGCTGCAGTCTTAAGGGCACCTGCGCCAAGCTACGGGACTAGCACTGCCTTGGTGAGATGGTTTTCCTCCTATCCAACACATTCCCATTCCCACAGTCCTGCCCTATCTCATCTCTTCCCTTCCTTCGTTGGCTCCTGTCCCCTCAGCATCATACCACAAGCTGGCTCAGGTCTCTAACTTGGCAGAAGACTATCTGAAATGGCCTCAAGTTGCACCAAGGGAGGTTTAGATTGGACATTAGGAAAAATTTCTTTACTGAAAGTGGTCAGGCCTTGGAACAGGCTGCCCAGGGAAGTGGTTGAGTCACCAACCCTGGAAGTATTTAAAAGATGTGTAGATGAGGCGCTTAGGGACATGGTTTAGTGGGCATGGTGGTGTTGGGTTAACGGTTGGACTCGATGATCTTAGAGGTCTTTTCCAACCTTAATGATTCTACGATTCTATGATTCTATGATTCTTTTTCATGGGTTAGCAGGCTGTAACATTTCTTTTTTCTCAATTTCCATTGAGTTACTGAATTGTTCCTCCCTCCTACCTTTCTTTTAACCAGCCTGTGTTGAACAGATCTCCCTGAAAAACGGACTTGATACATTTATTACTCTATACTACCTAGCAGGATTTCTTTTAAAAATACCAAATCTTCTTCAGCCAAAAATTCAGCATTGGATAGTTCTCTCCAAAAGCAGCAGCATTTATTCTGGTGGGACACTATGTCTTCAAAGCGTCTCTATACTGCATGGTGGGATTAAATAGCAAAAGTTGTAAAGAGCTCTTCTTTTCACAGTGTCGATGTTTAGACCAAGCAGGTGATGCAGACTCTCACTGCCAAAGGGTGTTCTAGTGCATCTTTCATAACTAGCACGTATCCTGAACTTGCAATATAAGAATGAGAAAATATTGTGATCCACAAGCCTGTTTTACTAAGGGAAATAGGATGAGCTGTAGTTATCACCGCCTGCGAGTGTGAGAGCATGTAGGCTACGAGAGCCTGCAAGATAAAGTAAAAACAAAACCAGAACACAGCAAGATTGCTGAGCTGATACCAGGTAGCAGTGGTTCATAACAAAGAAATGAATTCAACAATGATTCAGAAAAACAAAGTCCTGATATGACAAGACAAAGAAGCAGCAGAGAGGAGGAAGACCGCGGCTCAGTAATGTCAAGCATCAGCCCATTGAGAAGAACGCAGAGACCAGCACATCCCCACCTGAATGACGACCACGTGGCCAGCAGACCCGCTGGGTGGCTGTGCTGGGGCAGGAGAGCAGACCGATGCCTCACAGCATGTTTCTCCCAGCCCGTGTTGTGGGTGTTAGCAGTAAAGATAATGACTGTGCACCCATATCCTGCCTGTAGGATAAGCTCAGAAGACTCAGTGCTTGGTAAAAGATGCCCAAGGAGAAGTTAGCCAAAGGCTTGACGGTTACAATATGGTGCATTCAAACATGATCAAGAGTGGAAAGGTTACTCCATACCTAAGGCAGTTATAACCAGAGATTAAAAAATACTGAATGAAAAGAGAGACCACGACTCCAGGAATGCAGTCAGGTAATTTAATTGCTTGCACAACAGCATAAGGCATGGTCAGGACAACACTGCAGTGTCCATAAGAAACAAACAATCCCTCAGGCTGAACACCTTTAGGATTGATCCATCGTTACATGTTGTTACAAGCCATTTACCAGAAAAGTTTAACGCATGAAACTGCTACTCCAAACTGTCCAGACTACTGCTGCTCAAAGAACAAAGGGCAACAGTGACTCTTAATAGCAAAAACAGAGAAGGGAGGAAAAAAGAATCACAGAAACACTGAAGGTTTTTTTTTTTTTTTTAAAAAAAAAACAATCCTCTGTAACTGTCTGAAAAAGAGTGAGGAGTAAATAGGAGAACATTACATTGCATAAC